CTGCACGCCTCGACGTAAGCGACGCCGCGTCATAGCTCCGAAGCTCTTGCCTCTGGACCGACAATTTTTTGGAGCTGGAAGTGAACCGCATTCCGGAGCTATGACGCGCCGCCGCTGCGGTGTGAACAGGAAAAACCGGCGCTTTTCCAGCTCCAGCTCCGAGCAGGAGCTGGAAAAGCGCCGGTGTGAAAGGGGTGAGGGAGATGGGGGGCTCCTGAGCAGAGTCACAGGGAGATGGGGGCTCCTGAGCAGAGTCTGAGAGCACATTTCTCCCCCCTTCTGTTGACACAGGCCAGATTAACATGGCAGTTTAAAATAGTGCATTAGTTTGTCTGTGGACAGTGTGTGCATGTGTCTGAGTGTAGGTATATTTTGGTACATTTTTTGTAGAGTTTGTCCAAATGTGGTCTGAATGTGTGTTTATATCCTCTCTGTGTGTTTGTGTGTTCAACAGCCTGGAGGAGATGGAGTGTAGCTGAACACAAACACACACTGTGTATCTCTACACAGCCCTGCAGGCGACAGGTCACCAGCAGCACACTTTGTCCTGCCAAAGTTCTCTCAAGCAAGGCACTGCACCTCTACCTGCTGAGTTAGAGTAACTGATACTTGTTTCCAATGCAATTCGATACCACATAGAGAATTGTGATGGAAGAGGAGAAGCACACATTTTTAATGGTGTTATGTCATGAAAAAGTTGAATTTAAATTTCAATACATTGTAAACGTCTGAAATTGTAGTATCTAACAGAGGGAACTTTTTTAATTACTCAAATGCAGTTGCTATGGCAGCAGTTGTCAGGAAGAGGAAGCCCTCACCATAAGAAATTGTCTGAGAACATCTCATCTTGATATAGGCTTACAAGTTGCATGCATTGTGTGTGTGTGTGTGTGTGGTGTGTGTGTGTGTGTGTGTGTGTGTGTGGTGTGTGTGTGTGTGTGTGTGTGTGTGTGTGTGTGTGTGTGTGTGTGTGTGTGTGTGTGTGTGTGTTTTTTTATGGTCCTGAGAACTTGCAAGATACAATCTGGCCTTGCCCAGTGGACTTTGCTATTATAAACCTGTTTCTTATTACATGGAGAGGAAGGTGTGTGTGTGTTTGTGTGGTGTGCAGAGTGCAGTTTGTCTGAGGTGACGCAGCGAGCTCTATGGTTAATGTAGCGATCCTTACATTATATACTGTGTGTGGTGTAAAGCTGATCACTTAGAGATGCAAGATTTGGCTCTGAAGTACAGAAACACAAACGCATGCACGCACGCACACACGCACACACACACACACACACAATGGCTGTGTAGCTGCTGAGTGGCCTTCTCTGGCAGTGAAAGCACTCAGTGTAATGTCCAGTGTTTGCAGTGGGCTGCTGTTATATTAGTTTGGCTATGAATTATTTCACTATGAATTAAACATAATCTGCTGACAACAAAAACGTCCAATGTTTGCAAACTGCTGACAAAGCTGCCTCTGATCTGCACCAAGAAGTCACTTTTTGTCTGGAGTTTGAATGGAGGAGGAATCTTTCTTTTTAACCATGCTAGCGTAACGACTGTGCTTCAATACCAGATTCAATCCTGCCAGTCATAGTGTTGTGTGCTTTTTCTTTTATTATTACACACACCAGTTTAAATACACATAGCAGCTTAGTCGGTCAAATAGTTTGTCTTTAGTTAGTGGCCATTGTATTATCATTACCCACAAAGGGGTTTGTATTTTAATTTGAAGACTCAATCTGCCAAAAATATTTATACCCCATGCACAGCTTTATAGTTCTAATTCTGAAAGTAGCGTTATTTTGATATATTTAAGTATTTTAAAATTGTATTCCAGTATTTGAGTACATTTTCTTTTCACTTTCCATATCTCCTTAGGTTTCATATAGCAGCAGCAGTAGAAATACAATTTAGAGAGAAATTATAACCATCCATATTGTCACTCTACTGTAGTAACAGAGGAATAAGAACATTAACAAAGTCCTATCAACTTTGATGTGTTTTTCCATATACTTAAAAACCCCACGCAAACACACACTAAACCACCAACACTTTCCATAGGCTAGTGTTGGTGGTTGACCCAAACACACACACACACACACACACACACACACACACACACACACACACACACACACACACACACACACACACACACACACACACACACACACACCACGACACACACTCTCTCTCTCTCTCTCTCTCTCTCTCTCTCTCGCTCTCTCTCTCTCTCTCTCTCTCTCTCTCTCTCCCTCTCTCTCTCTCACTTCACTTCCTCCCTCCTTGTCGCTGACAGCTCGCGCGGGGTTCATATCGTCCCTTCGAGAGAACGTGCGCAGCCCTCGCGCGCTGTTATCTGCGCTAAAGAGCTGCGTTGCACTCTTTTTTTTCCCACCGAGTAAACCTGCTGCTTTTGAACAAACACAGGATTATTTTTGCTCCTTTTTTGCGGAGTGTAAACCTTGAGAACACTTGCTTGTAAAATGGAGTGAGGAAGACTTCTGAAAAA